ATAAAAATATAATATTTTACGATGAATTTGTTGATTTTATAGGTAAGAGAGTATATATATTACATATATTGTATTTTTATAATATTTATGAGGAATTATGCCACCCAAAAATAAGTTGGGTGAACAAACCCTTAAATTATATTAATTTTTAATACTAAATTTATAAATTGTGTAATATTTTTGTCAAATTTATATTTAGTAGTATTTAAAAAAAAATTATATAAAAAAATAGAGCAATACTATTAAGCAAGCAATAGAGTATGAAAATCGCGAAAATCACACACTTTGAGTATAAATTTATTTTTGTAATTTTTATTATTAATTCCTAGAAATATACTATATTTTATGACATACATTATTTAATTCAATATTAAATTTTTCCAAATTTAAGATTTGTTTGTTGTAGTTTGAAATTTTTTGAACTTTAAAATGAAATATTATTTGAATTTTTGGTTAAATAAGATTTTGATGTGATATTTTGTAAAAAAAAATAATATATTATTATTAAAAATTGCATGATGAATAATGTTAATTTTTATTTAAAATGTTAAAAGAACAAAACCTTGACGGGTTGTTTGTTTAATGAGAGAGTTTAAAAAAATATTTTTTTTTATGTAAAATATATAAAATTATGTAAATAATATAAAAATTAGTACGTGTTATACATTAATTTTTTTTTGAAAAAATGTGTTTTAAAAAAATATATTTTCCACAAAGAACACATCCACGTTCATTAAAAATACAAAATAAAAACACACTAAGTAGTATTAGTATTATTTCTTAATCTTTAATTATAATTTAGATAATAGCAAGAATATATTATTGGATTTATTTTTCATTAGATTTATTTTTTGTTTTTTTTTAAACACACAAAACACTAAAATATATCAAAACAAAACAAAAAATTATAAAAAAATCTTTTACGTATACTCAATTATCATTTTTATCATTTATTTAGCTAGCTGATAAAATATATTTCATGCATTAGCACGTGACAAAAGTGATAATTGAGTATACATAAAAAGCTTAAAAATATCTATTTTTATTATAATAAAAGTAATAATACAGTAATATTAAAATAATTTATTTTTTCGTATATTACAAACATACAATTAATTTATATATAAAATACAAAAAGTAAAAGTGTGAAAACTATTTTACATAATTTCATTAACTAATAAAATATAATTATTTTTTAATTTATTATAAAATCTCAAATGACCCATATGATTTGGAAATGGAGAGTAATAAAACTTAATTTTATATATAAAATATCACATAAATATTTATTTATATTGTATCAAATAATTATTATTTAAATAGTATGTGTATAAATTTAATTGGATAAACTAACCTCATATATTAACACAGTGCCAGCCCATGAGCCCTTAAATAGCGGTCCAGCCCCGACCGGCCCAATATAAATATGTCTGGTTGAACAATATATGGGCCTAACATGGGCTCTTTTGTTCAAAATCTATGTGGGACCCAAACCAAGTGAGTCAAAAGTGTCCAGCCCAAACAAACCCGGTCCAATAAAATACTTATTAATGTAAATAATTAAAATCTTAATTCAAATTGAAAAATTATTTGTTAAATAATGCAAATTTATTTATATATTTATATGTATACTATAGTCACTTGTGCTCCCTCAGGTTACAAATATCTAATTAAAATTTAATATTTTCTCCATCAAATAAGAAAAATTATTTTTTATCTTTGGCTCTCCCAAAATATTAAATCAAATATTCTACTTTTTTTTTAAATATATCAGTTTGAAAGTTTTGTCATTATTAAATATATATTTATATTAAATCAAATATATATTTCTCCATATCAAACATTTAATTTTTTTTATTATTATTATCGAAAATCGAAATCTAGCCTCAATTTTTTACCTAATGTGATACTTTATGTAAAATAAATATTTTTATAAGGAGTAAAAAAATTACATTAGTAAAAAAACATTAAAAGTTAAAATTAGGTGGAAAAAGAAAATACTGTACTTATGTGATTTCCCATTATGTTGCTTTCAATTAGTAATCTATAATTCAAACCCACTTATAACTACCAAATTCAATCATTTTAAATATATGCATAAATAGTAATTATAATATATGTAAAGGGAAATGGTCATTCATAAATTTCAAATTTAATTAATTATACTTTTTAATTACGTGTTTATATATATATATATAAAGCAGTATCAAAACTATTACGAAAAATTATATAATATGTAATCAATGATATATTTATTGCATTTATTTTAATTTTTTTATATATTATTTCTGACTAACTAAAAATGTCCCGTACTAATGGAATTAGATGTGAGATTTATATATAATGTATGGATACTTCTAATTTTTTAATATAAGATTTGAATTTGCATCCAGATATATATTTATTTTTTCTATAAGATATTATATCTAATAATTATTTTATTTAAATAAATACAAAATCAGAATACAAAAAGCACTAAAAACAAAAAACATCCTTAATAGTTTTAAATATAAAGATATAAAAAATAATGTTATCTTATATCTATATTATCTCTATTTTAATTTAATAGATAAACTTATTATATATAATATAATTATTTATTTGAAATATTATATTAAATAATTATTTTAAAAATAATCTAATTATAAAATACAAATTGAAATTATCACACCCTAGATTATAAATATATATATATATATTAATATTATATTAAGATCCAATTTATATTTGTAATAACACCTATTAAATTAAATTGGGGGTGTTGAAACACCTATTAACTCATATCTTACCTACTAAATCTTCTATAGGATTTTTAATTTATCTTTTCATTTTGAATATAATCATTATATTTAATATTAAAAAAATTGAAAAGTAATTTAAATCACTTTTGTCGGATGTTCAATATCCAATTTTGAAGCTAATGCGTCAAATTATACGATATGTTAGGCGAAAGAATATCTCGTCAATGTTAAGCCTTGAGAGTATTCCAAAATTTTCTTACAATTCGAGATTCAGATTGATTTTAGATAATTCTGGCATTTTTTCCAAAATTGCTCATTAATCCAAATATTTCAATTATATGATAATTGATTACCTCCAAAATTATCTATTTTTTTTTTCTAACTTTTATCCAAATGATCAACGAGTTGACTTATAATTTTAAAATGTGATCAGCAATGATATATATTTACACCAAATAATTTAAATTTTTAGAATTGTCCAGATGGGTTGATGGAACAAATTAACCCACAACTCACCATAATCTACAATTCAGTAAGATGGATTAGATGAACTATAACATGATAGCTTAAAAATTATTCAACCAATACTTTCTTAAAATTAACTTTAAAAAATAGAAGCTACGATTCCTACAGCCAACTATATTTTAAAGCGGACTAATTCAATAGTCTCAAATCTATTACCTTTTTAAAATTTAAAATCAAGATTCTACTATCATAAAAATTAAACATTTCCTTCGTAAATAACGGTGAATTAAAGATGGAATTTCACCTCAAAGAATAAGATATAACTATGCAACAAGTTTTTTTAAAAAAGGTCACCTAATATATTAGAAACATTTACATGTACAAGATGAACTTTTCCTACATCTTGGTGAGAAAAGAAAAAGAAAAAGATGGACTTTTCCAAGGGAGAACACTAGCAAAAATTCATATATACACAAGACAATGGTTAGATTTTTAATTTAGCTTGTTCTAGTAATCCATACTACATAGATTGTGATTGATATTAATATAGTGTACATGTTAATATAAAATAAATACATAGTATAAATTTACAGCATACGATCAGAGGCGGATGTATGTGGGAGTAAGGGGAGCTCCAACCCCCTCCCCCCACCCCATTTCTTTTTAATTTTTATTTTATAATATATAATATAAAAAATAATAAACAATTTTAAAAATTGATAAAAATTGATAGAGTATTTATGTGAAAATTTAATTTTGAATAACAAAAAGTTTATATCATAATAATTTTTTGATGCTATAAAAATAGATATGAACAAAAAAAAGTAAAAAATAATAATTAAAAAAAAAGAAAATTCTTCAAAAAATTCTCAACTAAATGCATAGGAGATGATATTTTTAAAAGCTATTTTTTTAATAATTTTTTTTTTACTATTTATCAATTTCATATAATACAAAATTATCTTGTAATAAGTAGTTGTTACTGTAAGTTGATGTTTTGAAATATTTTCAAAATATGATAATTCTATTGATAAAATTATTGGATAACAAATAAATTTTGATCCCTTCGAAATTTGAAAAGTTAGTCTCCATTCTCATCCCGGTCTGGTTCGCCTCCGCATACCATAATAATCAACAAAATATATATATCACTCTTGATTTTAACATAAATAAATAGTACAAATTGGCAGCAAATGATAATTATTCATATCTTATTTAATTTCAGTCCTGCGTTGAGAACTAATCAACTATTATTGGCCTGATCAGCATTTAGTGTGCTTCTTTTGTTATTTTTTTCAAATTCTATTATTTGAATTTTCATAAATATTATTTTAACATCAAATTCAAATTAATAATTTTCAATTTTACCGAAAAAACACACAGTAAACACACCGTTAGAATCAAGAATCCATTTTTATTTCTGATCCAATTAATTAATTAATAAAAAAGTAATTAGCCAAATAAATTGACTGCAAAGTCGATGTTGATCCAATTATATCAGTATGATAAGGTCAGTATATCACATAAAGATAGATATTTATGATATATTATATACTATCATAAGATATTTACAATACAACATATGTTATGTTATAATTCAGACGTACGATATCATTATATACGTCGATTACTTTTTATGTGATACACCGACAATCCCAACTTGTGAATTAAATTAAGAATTACATGAAAATAACTTTCCCAGTGGGTGCAACCAACTCGGTAATTAAGGTAAGACTAATTCATAGTATAAATTAATTTCTCCACTCTCTATTGATCAAAACCTAATCTGCCAACTTCAGGACAACCCTTTCCCACTCTATATACTAAAATCCTCCCTAAGTATTCTTCCAAAAATAAAACAAAAAAAAAAAAAAAAAAAAAAACCAAAACAAACAGACATTCCCTCAAGAAGAACACACCCAGAAAAATGGAGACTTACAGATCCTCCAGCAGTAGCCCCTTGTGCTGCATTGCCCTATTCTCTCTGCTTCTGTTCGCCGGAATCGGCGCTTCCGCCGCCGTTGCCGCCGCCACGGTGGCGGCAGCGAATACGAGAATTCACTACCACGAATTTGTAGTAAGTATCCTTTACGTCGTCCTGTTTCCCGGCCGCGATTTGATTGCATTTTAATTTACCGGCGATGATCAACAGGTGCAGGCGACGGCAGTAAAGAGGCTGTGCAGGACGTGGAGCGCGATCACCGTCAATGGGATGTTACCGGGGCCGACATTGGAAGTTAATAACGGGGACTCGTTGGTCGTCAAGGTTGTCAATCGAGCTCGTTACAATGTTACGATACACTGGTAAGGTTATTGTCGGGGGGGGGGGGGGGGTCGAATTTCTCTCGTTTGGTTTACGATTCTCGATGGTGTTGCGTTTTCAGGCACGGCGTTCGTCAGCTTCGAACGGCGTGGGCGGACGGTCCCGAATTCATCACCCAATGCCCGATCAGGCCGGGCGGGAGTTACACATACCGGTTTACGATCCGAGGGCAAGAAGGCACGCTCTGGTGGCACGCCCACAGCTCGTGGCTCAGAGCGACCGTTTACGGCGCTCTGATCATTCGTCCAAGAGCCGGAGCCTCGTATCCGTTCCCGAAACCGAAGCGCGAAACGCCTCTACTTCTCGGTAGCTTTTAACTTCCCAGACTTCCCTCTCGATTAGGAGTGCAAAAATAAGCACAGTCCGAAAACCTGGTTCGAATTCCGCATAAAAAAAACTGTGCTAGTGCCTAAAAAAATAGGCTCAACAAATTTCGGGCCGTGCTTGTCTCGACATGCTAATGTACCGGACCGTGTATGGTCAGGCCCAATTTTTAAAATTAATATTTAAAATTTAATAAATATATATATATATATATTAATTTTTAAGATAAAGACAAACCTTAAAATATAGCTTGATGCTAATGTACCAGGCGGTGTCCGGGCTCATGAAAGCCGAGCCGTGTTTGGTAGGCCCAGTTTTTAAAATTAATATTTAAAATTTAATAAATATATATATTAATTTTTGAAATAAAGACAAAATTTAAAGGATAGCTTAATGGTAAAGTTGTCTTGTGTATGTTTAATTGTGGGTTCAATTATTCACTTTCAAATGAGTTGTACTCAGGCCGGCCTTTTAAGGCTCGATTTGAAATTGGGCCGTACTGGCCTACTACGGTTTGAAATCGGGTCCAACCCGACACGAAAAACGGGGATTCATGTTTTGATTTTGATAGATTGGTCGATGTTTTGAACGTTGTTGTGCAGGGGAATGGTGGAACGCCGATCCGGTGAGCGTCGTTCGACAATCCACGAGAACCGGAGCTGCGCCGAACATCTCGGATGCTTTCACAATCAACGGCCAACCCGGCGACCTCTACGACTGCTCAAGCAAAGACACGGTGATAGTTCCCGTCGATGTAGGCGAGACGAATCTTCTCCGAATCGTCAACGCCGCCCTCAACCAGCAACTTTTCTTCAAAGTCGCGAACCACGACCTCACCGTGGTGGCCGCCGATGCCTCCTACGTCAAACCCTTCGTCACCTCGGTTCTCATGCTCGGGCCGGGCCAAACGACCGATGTTCTGATCACGGCTGACCAGCCTCCCGCCCGATACTACATAGCGGCACGCGCGTACGCAACGGCTCAAGGCGTACCGTTTGATAACACTACAACGACGGCTGTGTTGGAGTATATATCCGCGCCATGCGCCGCCAGGGGCGTCGTAATTGATCCCGTTGCGCCGGCGATGCCGGCGTTCAACGACACCGTCACCGCAACTGCATTCACAACGAGCTTCAGAAGCCCGAGACGGGTTCCCGTGCCCACCGATATAAATCACGATCTATTCTTCACCGTCGGACTCGGCCTCAATAATTGCCCGCTGGGCGCGAGCCCTAGCAGCTGCCAGGGCCCGAACGGGACGCGGATTACGGCGAGCATGAACAACGTGTCGTTCGTGTTCCCGCCGATCTCGTTGCTTCAAGCGCATCAACAAGGCATTCCGGGAGTTTTCACCCGCGACTTTCCCGGAAAACCTCCGGTAAGGTTCGACTACACCGGAAATGTCAGCCGAGCATTGTGGCAGCCGGTTCCCGGCACCAAAGTTTACCCGTTGAGATTCGGCGACACGGTGCAGGTAGTGCTGCAAGGCACGAGCATTTTCACGGCCGAGAATCATCCTGTCCATCTCCATGGCTACGACTTCTACATCCTTGCCGAAGGATTCGGAAACTTTGATCCGACCACCGATACCGCCAAATTCAACCTCGTCGATCCTCCTCTGCGCAACACTGCCGGAGTTCCCGTCGGCGGATGGACGGTTATTCGATTTGTGGCTGATAATCCAGGTGAGACAATAACACAAACACCTTGTGTGCAAGTTTAATTTCACTTTTCAAAATTCACTGACGGAGAATTGTGAACTGCAAATATAGGGGTGTGGATAATGCATTGCCATCTGGATGTTCATATCAATTGGGGATTTGCGATGGCGTTTGTCGTGGAGGACGGCGTCGGAGAATCGGAGATGCTCGACGTTGCGCCGCCGGATCTTCCCCTCTGTTAGTGGAAGCGGCGGAATTGATGTCCGGTGGCCTGCAGGAAGGGCGGGAAAGCGATTTATACTTCTTTTCTGATCATAAATTGGGAAAATTGTTTTGGTTTTTGGATTTGTAGTTAGAACAAGAATATAGGACGAAATCATGTATGTCCTCCATTGCATTACATTGCAGCACATCATTTGTAATTTGTATTTCTCTCTTATACGATAAATTGAATTCAGAATTTGGAACTCTATATATTTTTTTATAAGGGTGTGTTTGTTTGGGAATTTGATTGGATTTACACTATTCATTCAATTTTTTTTAAAAAAAAACATCAAATCAAACACTTATTGTTTATTTTTTATATTATACTAAAAATCAATTTTACATTCAAAACATCACATCAATACCTATTTATATCACATCGTACAACTATTCAAATTCAAAATTTTTATTATTCAAATCCCAACTCAAAATCCAAAACCCCAAACAAACACACCTAAGTGTATATTTATAAATGCGATAAATAAAAATATTTAACAATAGTATATACTCCCTACCACTCATATAATTGCTTCATATTTTCTATTTTTATTCATGTCTTCTTTTTTTTTGAAAATATGATTATTCATTTTAATCTCATTTTAAATTTTATAATTTTTTAATCTTAATTAAACTATTTATTTATTTTAATCTTAATCTTAATATTAATTTTAATTTTAATCTATAATTATTTTTACTAAATAATACTCCATCTATTTCAAAAGTATAGTCTTGTTGTATTGGACACGAGATTTACGGAACATTGATATTATATTTGTAGTTAGTAAAAAGTAAGGATAAATGATTTTTTTTTTTTTTTGCCCTTGTGAGTATATATGTGTAAAAAGTAGTGACAATTATGTAATAATAATGAAAAAATAAGAATAATTTCATGATGATATGATTATTTATGGAAATGAGATTATTGTTTTGGACAGACAAAAATGATAAATAAGACAAGACTATTGTATTGGGACAGAGAGAGTAATTATTTATACTGATACATTTCTTAATTACCTACTAATTATACTTTATCTAAATTCTCCTAACTACGAAAATAGACCCAAAATATATGGACGGATGGAGTATTATATTTGTATTGTGTTTATATATATAGAGTAAAAATCAAATTTGATACCAATCAAATCTTTTGTTTTTTGTTTTTTTTTTTTTTTTCTCATTCAAAAATAATTATCAAAATTAATTTTATACAAAAAATAAATTATCATTTTTTTATCCTACCGGCTGACGTGAGGTAAATGATATGGAACAAACACGGCCGTGTAATAATTAACACGACTGTAGTGTTTCAATTAAATATCATATCATTATATTTATACCAACACGGGCGTGTTTCAAACTGAATACGCCCGTGTTCAAATTGGAATTCAGGCGGCTTGAAAGACTGGTGCAAAATAATGAATGTGATCCCATATTTTATTATAATTACTTTTAATATTTTATTTACAATTTTTTAATATAATATATTTAATTATATATACATTATTAGTAATATTTAAAATTATATTTTGATTTTTATGGGCCAAAATTATAATTTTTTTTTGTCTAAAAATTATACTTTCAGACTATTCTTTTTTTTTTTCCTATTTTACCATAGATGATTTTTTTTTAATATAAAGTTATTAATTTTAAATACACTTAATTTGATTAAATTTATGACTTCTTATCCATACGATCTACTTAAAAATTTTTTATTTTTATATCTCTTCAATTAACAAATATTTGTATATACCTTTATTTGTAAAATTGATTTATAATAATAATAAATAAATAAATATATTTATTATTTATTTATATTATATAAAAATTTGATTGAGTCGTACATGTAAGGTGTCATAAATTTAATTTAATTAATTATATTTCTTAAATATATTTAAAATTGATAAATTTATCAAAAATAAAAATGCTTCATCTTTTATGAGATATACAAAAAAAAAGAAAAAAAAATGTCATATGAAAGTATAATATAATTTAGACAAAAAATAAAAATAAAAATAATACTACATTGGTCTCAATTAATATCCACTATTTTCCTATCCGTCCTTCCGACATAAATTTTCTCTTTTCTTTATTTTTTAAAAAAAATATAATTATACACTTTAATTACATTTTAAAATTCATAATTTATAATTTTTTATTTTAATTAAACTATTTATTTATCTTAATTTTAACTATAATTATTTTTATTAATACACTTTATAATTATTTACTAGTTATATAATATCTACAATTCTTTGTCCAACTAAAATGGACAAATTAACTGAAATAGAAAAAAAATATATAATTTAGACATATAAAAAAATAAAATTTAATTTTAAATATTAGTAAATAAATCAAATGAATGTATATATAATTATAATGATTATTACGGTCGCACACATTATTACGCAGCAGCCTATTCCTGCACATGAATTTGAAATTATTGTTTCAATTTTAACACGGGCGTTTTCACCCGTGTTGGTATAAATATGGTGATATAATATTTGATTGAAATAAGATGGTCATATTAATTATAACACGGTCGTATTTGTTCCATATCACTTGCCACATCAGCTTCCGTTATGGCCACGTCAGTTTATTCCGTGAAACTTTCAACGATGAGACCAAAAATAATAATTTTTTTTTTATAAAATTAATTTTGATAAATATTTTTGAATGAAACCAAAAATAAAAAAAAAAAATAGATTTTTACTCGTGTATATATATAACTCAAAACTCAATTGTATTATACGGTGTTTGTACGGTTATAAATACTCACCACAATAACAGGTAGGTGGATTGGTAGTTTGAATTTTAATTTTGATATAATATTTTATTAGAGAAAATAATAGTATATTTTTATTAAAAAATTAAATTAAATATATTTTTGTATGTTTCTTATAGTTGTATTTCTTGTTATGTATGAACTTTAATTTTATAATTGTGCATACATAATAAAATTATTATTTTAAAATATAAAATACTCCATCCGATCAGAAGCTAACTTATTACTCTTATTTGAGACGTCCAATATCTATTGTCCTATTTCTTTTTTTTTTTAAATACAAATTTTACATTTTTACCCTTCATTCATTTATTACTTTTAAACTCTACTATACAATTAAGGGCAAATTTGTCCATTCATACTAAAAAGACAATCACCTAAAAAAACCGTACAAATATACTTTAGGACAATAGAAATTGGACGGAGAGAATATGAAAAAATTACTTTATATTATCAATTATATATATATATATCATATTTTTCTTAAGGTAAGTATTATATTAAGTACTTCTATTTATTATTTTAATTTCGACAACATAATTTAGTTGTATTTATATATTTCATAGTATGAATGGCAAAATAATGTTATATTTTGGTTCTCCACACTAATAATGAGTGTCATAGTTCAATGATTATGCCTGCTTATAAAAGATTAGAAGACATTATTAATAAATAATTGAAGTGTTGGGGGTTTAAACCTTGTTTATACGATTACGAGTTCTCTTCCATACCATCAGACCGTTACTCGACAAGAGTGTTTTGGATAAATTTTCGATTAAACTTAATAGCCTCCATACTAGGCCCGAATGCCTAGTTATTATTATTATTATTTTTATCGGAAAGATCGTAGTTTAGTTTTTTTTTTTTTTTTTTTTTTTTATGACGTGGGAACCCGCAGCCGTTACCCGAAAGAAAGATCGTAATTATTTTATTATAATGTTTGGTGGTTTTATTGCTTTTGTTTTCTGGAGTAATCGTATTGTTCTTGATAAATATATACTACCTTCGTCTCATAAGAAGGTACCGATTACTTTTTATATAATTTTATTTAACATTAAAAATATTCTTATATTTATATAATTTATTCGAAAAATATCATTATATTTGTATTATAAAAATAATAGAAATACTTTTCTTTTCTCTTGATTTGTACTTAAATATTAATATTATAATTAATATTTAAAAATCTATTCGCAAAAGTCGTACTCTTCTTTTGGGCCGGTTATAGTATATTTTTTACAAATAAAAATCATATAAATATAATTGTTTGTATGTTCTTTAATTCCTTATTTTCAGATTTTATTGATTGTCTCCAAAAAAAAAATATGTTTTCTCTTGATTTTTAGGCGTAAAAAATATGTGTATAAATTCTTTTCATCTTGTTCAAACAAATGTATTTTGATTTAGTTTATGTTTCTATTGATTGTGAAAGATAAATTGCTTAATATTTTTAATTAAACAGGTCAGGTCTATTTAGAAAAAAATAATTATAACCTAAACCTGATCTATTAGTCTGAAACAAAAAAATTGTAACGCTTAGGTCTAGCCTATTTTAAAACCTGGTTTAACATACCAATTTAATTAAAAGCCTATATAATAATTATTTTTTAAAAATTTAATATTAGTAAAAGAATATATAAATACAATTATTTCTTATGTAGACATATATAATTATAGTTAAAATAAATCAAAATTTTATTTAGTTTTCATTAGTAAATTTATTTTTAAAAAAATTATAATTACTTAAAAATATAATAATTTTTATATTAAAATTTTAAAATTATATTTACAAATTATCCGGTGAAAGTCTGAGTCTATTCTAATTAATTAAATAGATTTTAAAATAAATAAAAATTAAATCTTTTTAATAAATAAGCGAAACCAAGTCAGGCCTTATGCATACATAGACTATCTCACCTATTTTCACCCCTATTTCCACATTATCATTGAATTCTTTTTATGTGAAATTTATGGTTTGATTTTGAACACTATAAAGTGATTTATTTCAATTCAAAACTTGAATTTATTTGTCAACAACATTTGCTTGTATTCAGCTCAATCCAAATTATTTGCAAATGATACTAAATTTTCGATTGACCGGAATTTTGTTCGAGTATAGTTTACAGTTTCGAATTTAGGTTAAGTTTAATTCCAACATATATTTGTAAATATTCAAACTAAAAAAATTTGATTTGGATTCTTCTCCTAACTAATGAAGAGATCTTGGCGAAATTGCAGATATGAAGTTGAACATAATTTTTCAAAGAAATAACTTGCTTGAATTTGGTGTACACCTCCACAAAAACACCATTCTAGGATATATTTGGTTTGTGTTTGATTTTGTATTTTAATTTTAATTTAAATAATAGGCGAACATATTTAAGAGGAAATATAATACTCTTTTGTTCATTTTTCTTTTTGAATTATTATTAAAAAAATATTCTTATTTATTACATAAAAAATAATTATACTTCTACACTTTTTTTATTATGAAAGAAAAAGTATTAATTATTTGTCTATTTTTATTAAAATTCGTACACAATCAAATCAAATGAATATGACGAAGAAAATATTATTATTATAATTATCATTATTATTATTATTATTTTGTTAGAAATCAATTTAATTTTGTTATTAATTCATTCAATAATAATATATTAGTTTTATTTTCAATAATTATACTTCACATATAATTTTTTTTAAAAAAAAATCAACAAAAACAAAATATCTTTATTGTTACGAAATGTACACGTATAGTACACATCTACTTAAGGTTGATGAATCGTAGATATTTTTACATTTAATCAAAATTTTACCTGTTGTATATTGCACCTATAAATACAAGTTGAGTGAATGATATGATAGTTCACTTCCATTTACTCTCTCCCTCTACCACTTCATGTCTTCCCCCTCTCTCTTGCATTAATTACTTACATTAATAACACAATAAATATCTAGTACTCCCTCCGTCCCAAACATCCTGCAACAATTTTTTTTTGGTATGTCCCAAACACCCTGCAACATTTCTAAAATATGAAATAATTAATTATACTTAATCTATGCCCCACACTTTATCTCCTCATATCATCCAAATAAAAAAAAAATATATATATATTTCTCTCTCCATTATATAACCTAATTTCTAAATTATCCTACTTAATACTACCCACCTAAAAATCCGTGCCAAAATTAAATGTTGCACCTTGTTTGGGACAGAGGGAGTATTATATATTATATATATACCAACTCACACACACAATATACATACATAAATATACACACTATCGTGCACACACATTTATATATATATATATACTTACTTTTATATACAATATATAAAATTGTGATTAGCGGTGAAAATAATTAATATTTCTATTGGCTAATCCTATGATAATATCACAAAATTTATAATTTAACTATTATTATAAAAATTTCATCTTCATTATTTAATTAATATTTTTTTAGAGGCAGATTTAATTTTTCATATTTCTTTTATACAAGATTCTACAAAATATAAAGAGGTATCCCATCGGTTACAATTGAAACGATGTTTTTCATAATTTTTATTTATCTCATTCAAAAATATTTATATTTTATTATATTAAAAATAATTATATATTGATAAAAATGTCTTTTAATTTTTATATAAATTATAAATAATATATTATATTCATAATTAAATTAAAGTATAAAGAGTAAAAATATTAAAATTATCTAATATATTTTATTAATCAATAAAGCACTAGCTTTAATTCTTAATTTATTGTAACAATCCAAAGACTATTTTGGATTGGGAGGAAAAGAGACAAATACACACCGGAAAAGGATAAACATTTATTTATTTTTCCGTCTCATTTATCGTTTTTATATTGGTGTTTTTATTCGTCTCATATTTTTTATTATTTTTTTTAGAAAAAAATACAAACGATTAATTTGATTTTAAACATTTTAATTTAATTTAAATTAATTAATTAAATTAATTTTAATGTAAAATTATTTATATTATAAAATAAATATTTACATTAACATATTTTTTTTTAATTATTTACTCTCTCCATCTAAGTTAATTTGTCTATTTTAATTGGGGCATATAATTTTAAGTATGGTGTAGTTAGTAAGTAATTAAGAAGTGTATTAGTAAAAATAATTATGATATTATAAAAATAATTATAATTAAAATTAAAATAACTAAATAATTTAATTAAAATAAAAAATTATAAATGATGAATTTTTAAAATGTAATTAAAATTTAGAATTATATTTCCAAAAATTAATAAATAAGTTATGTGAAAAAAAAAATAAAAATAGAATTCGAAAGAATGGACAAAATATGTGAAATAAAAAAATAAAAAAATAGAAAAATAAAAAAAATAAAAAAATAATGTATAACAAATTAACATATGTCCGGAAGCATACGGCATTTCTTGCGATTTTTCAGGAAGTTATGTTGAACTGACGCTTTATCTGTCAAAGAAGTCAGCGCCTTCATATATAGTTGTGCAGCTGCGCTTTCGACACGTGGCGCGCATGCAAGATTCCTAGAACATTGGAGATTCTGTCTCAGCAAGGTGGTCCCCATCTTATCCCAACTGCACCATTTGCTTCTTTCCACTCAGTCCTACTTCTACTTTGCTGGATTATTCATTCTCTTTTGTTTTCTCATTTTATTTTGGGTTTCCTTGTTTAGTGAATTTATTTAAAATATTTTTATTTTTTTTATTTTTCTAGAAAAAAACTTACCAACTAAACATATATATTTGGTCATATCTTAATCTTATCTTTATAATTTATTAATATTTTGTTTCCTATATTATAATATTCAAAACAATGGAAAGTTCTATTAATTTGGTCCATCTTTCATTTTATATGGAATATAATATCATACAATGGATATTCTTTAGTAGGTACTAGGAAATTAATACCATACTATGCAATGATAATAATCCAAATTATAATATGTTCTAAAATTACTTAAGATTTTGGTCTAGTTTTCAATAAAAAATCTCCTTTTTTTATAAATGAAAAGTATCTTGATTTTGTTTGATTTTTGATTTGAAATTAATTTTTTTTTATTTAAATTTTTAGTTTAAATAACAATTTGATATAATATACTATGAGATAAAATAATATATTTTTATTAAAAATGGTGGAAGTAAAATATTAAATTTTTTTATTTGAAATAATTATCTCGTACACCATAAAAAACCAAATACTATATTAAAACCTTCCAAAATCCAGTCAGATAAATTCGTAAATAACCAAAACAGTAGGGTAAGAAATAGAATTAGACCCAACTTTAGTACATGAGAGCAAATAGCAGAAGATTGAAAGAAGACTAGTGCTTAGTTCCCAAGCTAAATAGTAGACCGCGTAGCAGGGGATCAAAACCCGCAAAAATAATATGTGGCTGGGGATGAGTCATGTGACACGTGTTGCAATATCCTGCATCTACATCGTCACGCCACTCTACCAATATTTAATTAAAAAATCTCGATTTTATAATATGGAAAATATCTGGAGAAAGATATAAATATCGCGAGATCAGTGTTGAACAGAACAGAGTGCACAATATCTACATTGATTTCTTAATACAGAGGCGATTCTAATTCAAATCCTTGGAAATCGTGGACTCGATAAGCATTCATCGAAACGATTTTGATCCGCTGATTTTAATTGTTTGTAAGTACGTTTATTTTATCTTTCTGATTTTATTTCTAAGTGATCGATTTTACCCTCTATTTGTGAATTATTTTTTAGTTTGTTTGTTTGATTGATTGTTTTGAGGTTGCTATGAGATTTATGTTTCTGTGTCCTGTTTTTGAGGTGGGGTATTGTTAGGGTTTCGGGGTTTTAGGTTTAGATTTGAAAACAACTATCGATATTGTAAATGAAATTCCCTTTCTCTGTTTCGGAACTCAGTATCACTTTGATAAAACTTTATTTTATTTAAAGCTTGAACATTGACGCAGATCTTTTGTTAGCTAATACGTTTTTTAGCCTGTTTATACTCATTGAATTGGACTTTATTAATTCTCTGATTCAATCTGTATTGATTAGTTTTATGTGTTTATATTATATACTCTTAACTAAATTGGACTATCTTAATCCTCTGATTTCAAACTTCTGCTGGTAGTGTATTGAGAAGTTTCAAAGCTATGGTCTTCATGAGCATGTAGTTTGATAATGTAGAATTGCAGGCAATTGGTAGCTAATTGTGAATGCTGTTACTACTACAGGAAATGGATGTGACTATGTTCGAACATGATTCCAATTTATTGTCCCAATCCATGGATTTCACAAGAAAGCGAAGAAGCCGGAGGAACGGAAGTAGAAGCATTGCGGATACACTCGCAAAATGGAAGCACTTGAATGGTCATTCACCGGTGCGCAAAGTGCCGGCAAAGGGGTCAAAGAAAGGGTGCATGAAAGGGAAAGGTGGGCCGGATAATGCTCGCTGCAGCTACAGAGGAGTCAGGCAGAGGACATGGGGTAAATGGGTGGCCGAGATCCGGGAGCCGCATAAGGGAAGCAGACTGTGGCTTGGCACGTTTCCCACAGCACGCGAAGCCGCTCTCGCTTATGATGAGGCAGCAAGAGCAATGTACGGCCCCTGTGCCCGGCTTAATTTCCCCGGCCATGATCCATTGGATGTGGCGAATAAAGATAGGAATAATACTACTACGTCTACATTGGTGTCGGATTCTACAAGTTCAAGCATTTCTGAGGTTTGTCACGAGGATTTCAAGCCTAAAGTCGGGACATCCCCGGTAAAATCTGAGGCTGCTGGATGTTCTTGCCAGATTGTTGACAACCAGCACCTAGTAGGGTTAGATAATTTTAGTACGACGTCAAGTAGCATGGTCAAAGAGGAATTACCGGATGAAGCTCCAAGGGAGGAAGTAAAGGATGAAGAAACTACAATGGAGGCAGTAAAGAATGAAGCTGAAATTAAAGAAGTCGGGAAGGAATCCCCAGTTTCATTGTATATATCGATGGACGAGATGTTTGATATGGAGAAACTGCTTTGTGAATTGGACTGTCCTTACAATGCCGGAGCCAGTCAGGATATCGACCAAAATGCTAATACTCCTCTAGAGCAACAGACAAATTCTGGAAACGAACTTAGCTTGGGCTTATTGACCACAGATGAGCAGGAAGATTACAATACCTTCTTTAACGATCTCCTAATGAATTTGGAATCAAACTTGGCAGTAGAAGCCGGTGAATCTCAGTTGGATTTGGGTTTGAACAATGACGATCGTAAGTCTGGTTAAGACCGGAGCTCTCTTGTAGAAACAAAGAAATGGAAAATCGGTAAATCGGTGCATAGGATGTTTATGTAATTCTTTTTGTACAGGACACTTCTTTTCTCTTTGGTTCCTTTGGTTTGGGATATAACCAAAAGCTGATGATACCTTGAGAGGTTTAGATGTGAAGGACCTACTTTGGTTCTTTAAATTACAAATTTAGCATCAAGGCATTATTGTTACTTTTTAACAGCTCTACATTTGTTCATACTCGTATGTTTGTGCTAGTTTATCTATGTGTAGGCTACAAACTCAATTTAACAATGGAGATTAGTTCTCTTTCTTTCTAGTACTATTCTAAACACTATTCTTGTTGAGGGTACCCTTGGTTTGTGTCTTGAGTTCCTACCCGATTAGGTGTTCATCTTGGAATCTTCGATATAGCAAGGATCTTCGATATAGTTCCTTTACTTTTGAATAATTTGCTATTCGACATGCTATGATCTTTACAATATGAGAAATCGAAATCTATTTTTGTGTATGAATTTTTTCTCTCTCCCTTGCTAATTTTTTGTTTTCTTTCTTTCGAACTTCCAAACACGAGCTTGAGTTTTCCGCCTACTACACACAATATCTACACAACACAAAAAACCACAATCGCTATCCTCAAACTACATGACTCCCCGGGTTAAATTCCTCTGGCCAAAAAACACAGCCACACAACCAATATCACATCTGTTCCGACAAAAGCAAAACAAGACGGTGAAGAAGAAGAAAAAGCGCACCTCATGTTTATCGATACCAATGTATGGAGCTCATAAGCTTCGCCGGAGAAGTTCTAATATCGTACAAAAATGCATTTCAAAGTCATAAAGGAGGGAACTCGTCTTCATTTATTAGGTAGTAGCACCAGGTATTGACCCGATAAGCCGAGTCTCCCTGAATTAGTATTCGGAGTTTTCTTCAGCCTGTAGATGCTATGCACCGGAGATTCTTCGGAGTCCGGTGGTAAATATGTCTTGAGCGGCAACTGATCCATATGACAGGCAACCGCAAGTTTTGATGAGCTGTTGAACGTCGTAATCCATCACATATCTCCGACTCAAGCGTGGGATGTGGAAAGCTAAGGTTGGTCTTGAATCAGTTATTTGCAGGCGTGAAATAGTTCTCTACTCCAAAAGAACTCGGAGAGATGTCATAGATTACGTTCAACCGCTCATCAAAACTTGCGTTGCCTGTCTTATGGAGCAGTTGCCGCTCCAGACATATTTACCGGACCGAGATATCTACTTGACAGTTCTCATGGATCAGCTCATCTCGAACAAATTTGTCTCGAAACGAAAGAATCGTCTTCGACAGAGATATTCCTTCGAAAATAGTAGCTGAGGTTGTCCGGCTCCCTACAGTGCCAATCTCCACCTCGATTAGTCGAGGAACAGAACCAAGCCATTGGGCATTTATATTCAGGTAGAATCCAGTTTGGATCATTTTGGAGCGAGTTTGACTCTCTCCCGGTGCATACTACATGCTGCGCTCAAGAACCGGGACTGCACAACAATGGTCTTCTACATACCTAATAAATGAAGACGAGTTCCTCCTTTATGACTTTGAAATGCATTTTTGTACGATGTTAGAACTTCTTCCTCAATCGAAGAAGAATGGCAACAAGTCGCGAAGCTTATGAGCTCCATACATTGGTGTCGATAAACATGAGGTGCGCTTCTTCTTCTTCTTCTTCGCCGTCTTGTTTTGTTTTTGTCGGAACAGATGTGATACTGGTTGTGTGGCTGTGTTTGTTTTGGCCAGAGGAATTTAACCCCGGGGGTCATGTAGTTTGAGGATACCGATTGAGGTTTTTTTGTGTTGTGTAGATATTGTGTCTAGTAGGCGGGAAACTCGAGCTCATGTTCGGAGTTTGAAAGAAAGAAAACAAAAAGAAAATTAGAAAGGGAGAAGAAAAATATATATACAAAAAAATAGATTTCGATTTCTCATATTGTAAAAGATCATAGCTAGTCGATAAAAATCTTTGTCGCCCTTGGGGAGTATAGAAAATTTGATTGTTACTTTATTATTTGCATGCTTTGTGTTGGTTTTCTTCGATCAATCTTTAGGATGCGATAATGCTAGGAAGAGTTTTTATCCAAATATCAATTGATTGTACATTTTGCGGATGATATATATAGGAGTTATGAATCGATTTATAAGTTCAAATTCAACCTTTTGATCGTTGGGAATGGCTAGTCTAATTTTAGTTTGATATTATCTGCTTTGGGTCGAATTTCTACAATTTTATTTTTTGAAATTTTTTCAAAAAAAAAAATATTTTAGTAGTTGAGTTAGACGTGAAACTTATAAAATACGATGTTGTAATTCTAAAAGTGTGCCTGTGTATTTTAGAATAATGCCATAATTTTTTTAATATATATATTTAATATTTTTTTATAATTTAAAAATTCTCAACCGTTACCTAAAAGTGAATATTGGCTAAATCGCATGATTTCACATTCACGATAATTACCACGCCACCCGCTCATTCCTTAGCAATTGTGGTGGGTATGTTATGGATTCCTTGTTAATAAAATGTGAGTTTGGATAAAGAGGAAACAAAAATAGAAAAAAATTGTGATGGGATTCAAAGGTTTGTTCACTTTATAATTTCTTTTTTCTTTTACTGTTGATTTGTTGTGATGTATTGTTTTATTCTATAAAATATTATAGTAAATTAGTATTTAAACAAAAAATACAAATAAAATGAATTATGTTTGTGATAAAAAAATTCTCCCTAAAAATATCTTCAATTTAAATTCGTTTAAATTAATATTTTATATTTAATCTAATTTAATATATGTATTTGAGAATAGTGTAGGATTTTTCATTTTTGGTTACAATAATCATAAATTTTGAGGTTGTTTTTTTTTAACTAAAATATATATAATTTTGTATGAATAATTATAATTTTTATCGAAAATTATACTAATTTGAAATTTTGAGACTTTTTTAGCATAATTATTAATATATTTATAGCAATTATAGTAGTTTAGGTTGTCTACATTAAAAATAATGATAAAAATAATATTTTTTATGGAAATTATCAAAAAATTGATAAATATTTTATGAAAAATCCTATATTACATATATTTATCTTATATTATCTTATCATATTATATATATATCTATGAGATATATATTTAAGATCAGCATTATGCTGGTTTGAAAAAATTAACATGGTGCTGATTTTTCACATCAGCACGCATTATATATATAAACAACACACAACACATTAGTATTATACACAACACACATTAGTATTATACACAACACATGTTTGTGTATAATTAAGGTATGTGCTATTTTTCAATAATAACAAGTGTGATGTATACAAGCATATCATGTGCTAAAATCAACTGTTGTTTGTGTTGTATGAGATTATAGCATGTGTTGTTAGTTCATGTGTTGTATTTGTATTATATTAACATGTACAATGTGTTGTCTGTAATAATATTGGCGCATTTCTCTAAGCCAAGATCGTCTGCTCCTTTCGGTGCGGGCCGCGAGAGCGGTACCAAATCGAGGCAAACTCTGATACTAGTGCTTTTGTACGAGAACCCACTATAAAAAAAAAGTGACTGGGGTTCTGCTTGTCATGGGAAATTTCCCCAAACCCCTGATGGAGGTAGGGGGTCATCCCCATATGGAACTGGGTGAGGGATTCCCTTGTGTGTTGTCTGCAGTAATATTGTGTGCTGTCAAACAACAACGATATGTTGTTAAGACTATATCATATATTTTTTGTTCATTTGTTGTATTTATATTATATTATCATATACAATATGTTGTTTGTAGTAATATTATATGTTGTTCAACACAATGCTGAATTTTAAATTTAACACTGTAGTCGTTGTCATATATATGAGATATATATTTAAGAAAACACGTGTTTTATCCTTTTTATTCATGAATTTTTAGAGTTTTGAATTTTTTGAATTATACGATTTTTTATATTTTAAAAATTGTTTGTTAACGTGATAGTGTTTTTAAATTTTTTTGGATGTATATGAAGTTGAAGTTTGGGAAAAAATAACGTGGACTTAGAAAATACGGAGCGGATGAAGAAGAGGAATGAAAATCTTATATTATATATATTTATTTTATATTATTTTATCATATTATATATATCCGATATAAATTTAAGAAGAATGTGATTTTTTTTATTCTTAAATTTCTAGATTTCTGAATTTTTTGAATATATGAAAGTTCATATTTTTAATATTGTTTATTAAATTGATAATTTTTTAATTTCTTTTAGGTGGATATAAGTTGAAGCTGGAAAGAAAAAATGAGTGTGAACTTGGAGAATACGGAGTCAAAGAGGCATGAAATACATTAGAAGAAGAAAAAATATATACTATTTTCCAGTCCCGCCATAAAAATAGTATTAAGTTTTGATTTTCTCTATAATATTTGACGTATATAGGAAGATAATTTTTTTTCAATTAAAAATAATTTATAATCATTATGTTACTCAGCGTTTTCGGATGAATTGATTGTTTGTGTGCGCTATGAGAAACTGTGTTAGTAATAAAAAAAAAAAAAATATTTTGTATTGAATAATTGACGTTTTATGAGTGCATAATGTAGATATTATATCAATGTGTGTATATATTTATATTTTTTAATAATATTTATAAAAATTGTTCTATTGAAAAATATTGAATGAATATATTATAATAAATAAATTTGAAAATTATATAACTTATTATTATATATCTGTGCATAGCAGGTTTAAACACTAGTATTTATAAATAAAAAAATATAAATATCGAATAAAGTACATTTTAAAGTTGTTTTTATTGATTTAATGAATAAAATTTATAATGATTAATATATTTAATACTAGATCATCAATCAAGTTCTATATTAATTTATTTAGTTTATATTACTTTATTTTTTATTAAATTTATAAAAATATAGTAATAATAAAATTGAATATTATATAATTTATGATTATATATCCGTGTATAGCATAAATTTAAACGCTAATTTTAAAATATCTCAAAACATATTATGCATTCATTTTTTTCATCAATTTATAATATTAATTTAAAAATAATGACATTTCATTAAAGTTTCTATATTTCTTTTTTTTCAATTTATAAAATTATGAAAATTTTAATTTAAACTCATGTTAAAGTTTCTCAAAAATATGGTATAATGCAATTTCTTATTTTTTCATCAATTTTAAATTTA